CCGTCATCCCTTCTTTAGGTTTCCTGTGACATCTTAGGGCTGGTTCTTTTCTGGACTGGCAAGGAAATGTTCAGAGGTCGCGGGGTAAATCTACGTGGGGTAAACTTGCTGGGGACGGAGAAAGTCGCCAAATGTGGCAATTTCTCGATCACGATTCCATCGAGCAAAGACTAATTTATTTACCGCCACAGAAGCTGCCATATATAAGAAACTCATATTGTCTTGATGGTATGCATTACACCCCTACATGTTTGCCCAAAGGACAGTCTCTTTCTTTACTCTCCTCTCAGTCAGACTCTTTACCTTCCATCGAGAGTGCCAATAATGTCTGCATCCATTGCCTCCTTGGGCTCAGCACCCTATGCGGCTGCAGTGGGTGTCGCTGTGGTCGTTTACTTTATTATCTACCCTTTCATTCTCTACCTTAAGGACCCTAAAGGTAAGGTATATTGTTCAATAGGGAAACACATACTGACTCCTTTCAGGTCTTCGGCGCTTCCCTAACATGTCCCTGTTCTCCGGCATGTCTAACCTTCCCTTCATGATCCTCGCTCACGGCGGCGCACGGTCGACTCACCTTGCGAAACTACATAAGACAAAGCCTATTATTCGAACGGGGCCTAACTCGTTGTCATTCGCTGGCGGTCAAGCCATAAAAGATATTTATGGCCACGGAACTCCCTGTATCAAGGACGAATCATACATTGTAGGAGCCGGAACCCATTTTCACCTGGCCGATGTTGTAGATAAGCACGAGCATGCCCGGAAGCGAAAGGTCCTGTCATCTGCTTACGCACTCAAAAACCTCGAGGGCTGGGAGTACAAGGTCGCGGATAAGGTGCAGCGAATGATGAACCATTTCGACAAGGTCTGCACAGCTCCTTTGCCCAAGGGTGCCAAGTTTCCTGACCCCCAAGACGTCAATCTTGACTTCCGCGCCTGGTCCAACTTCTTCTCCCTTGACGCCATCGCCGATATTGGTCTTTCGGAAAAGCTTGGTCTCCTTGATCAAGGTCACGATCGTGTTGAAGCCCAGCAGACATGCGGTACTGTCTACGAAGCCAATCTACGCGAATGCCTTTATCCCACTGCACGCAAGCAGTCTTATCTTCTGTGGACCTACGACTATTACAAGCTGCTTAATAAGATCTCCAACGTCATTCCTTTCTATCGAAAGATGGCAGAGTCAGCGAAAGGCTGGGATGACATTGTATTGCGACGAGCTCAAATCCGATTAGATCGATACCACAAGGGAGAAAAGCTTGACGACTTTTTCCAGGCGCTCATGGAGGACAAGAACGGCAACTCTCATGAGCTTGAATGGGGCGAGATTGTCGCTGAGATCAACATCATGATGAACGCGGGTAGCGTCACGACCGCGATTGCTTTAGCCAACATTCTCTATCAGTTGATACTCAACCCTAGGGTGATGGAACTCCTGAGACACGAACTTGACTCTGTCCTAGAGCCCGATGAGGTGGTGGCCCCCTACGAAAAGGTGAAGCATCTCCCTTACCTTCGCGCTTGTCTCGATGAGTCGCTTCGCCTCTGGCCCCCAACTCCACAGAATCTCGGTCGTCAGACTCCTCCGGAAGGTTTGACGATCATGGGCCAGTATATCCCAGGGAACACATCTGTCGGGGTGTCTGCTCTTGTGGCGCATCGCGATGAGAGCATTTATCCCGAGTCAGAAAAGTTCATTCCTGAGCGATTCTTGGGCGAAAAGGGCAAGGAACTACAGTCTCACTTTATTACGTTCTCCGCAGGTGCTCGAGGCTGCATCGGGCGCAACATTTCATATCTTGAGCAGGCTGTTTGCCTTGCTTCAATAGTTCACCGCTACGAGTTTGCACTACAAGCAGGCTTTGAGCTGAAGAGAGAGGAGACAATGAACCACATCCTGGGGCCTATGCCTGTCAAGGTTTGGAAAAGGAACTTGGCAGAGTAAAAGTGGCAGTTTAGAAGCGAGAATTTAATTTAGTTTCGTGCTTAGACATAAATTCCTTGGAGAGTAATAAACTATAAGAGACTATTACCGGTCAATCCAGACTGCAGCATGGCTAATAACTTTGGTCAGCAACGGTACCAGTAATCACTGAAATGAGTTTGTCTGACCTTTCCTATATCTTCAACCATCACTCTTTAATTGAAGGGGTTGCAGAAGTAGATAACGTTGACAGTCCAGCCATCCACAGTATACAGTACCCAAGGTTTACCATTCGGGCTAGTACCCTTGTAGCAGTTGTATGTGTGAAACCCGTTCGTTCCCGTTCCAGCCCAAGCATTTCCCTGCTTACCGCCTGCATCGGTAAAGATGTTTGATGTGAAGGATACACCACTGCCGAAAGTGCCTAACTCCAGTTAATATCTTCTTGTGACATCCTAGAGACTCTAGGAAACGTACCCTTTACTGATCGACCTTCCCAGATGATGTTGCTTCCATGGACAACGTCAACATAGTCATCAGGACGAGATCCTCCAGTTGCAGAATGCCCATCGGCATAATATGCTATACCGCTGGAAATCTCACTGCCCTTGTAGGAGTTGACGAGGTAGACGCTGTCACGGGCAGCGACGGCGCCAGCGAGAGCGGAAGTGAGGAAGGCGGTGATCTTCATAATTGACGAGTTGCTTGGTTTGGTTGGATATTTTATTACTTAGTGGCAAAGACACTGCGTATTTATATCCCGCGAGGACGCATGGTTTTGTAAGCGGTCTAACTGTGAAGCAATAACGGCTGGGCCGACAGCACAGAAAGTGACCACTATTCTCCATGTACTATCTCCAATTTGATCTAGAGGTCGATGAGTATGCTGACATCAGCGGCCTTCATTTAATGCGATGCTACTCTGTGCACAGGCTAGAAGTCAGCGGCATTCGCTGTATTAAGAAACTGTTATGCTGGAGCTGAAAGATCTTTTGTTAATAGCCCTTGAACCCCTGGCATGACTACAGCTTGCGCGCTGTGAGTAATACGAGGTCTAACGGAATAAGGTAACATCTTACGAAGGCTCGGACCGCTCTTTCGGAACATTCAATGCCGGGCTGCCCAATTTAGTAGGGCTGACGCTGTGATTGGTGCTCTTTTGTTTCGATTGACTATGAGGCAGTACTTATCTCTACACTGCAAAAGATTTCCTTGTAAAAAAGGAAGGAAGAAAAGGAAATGAAAGGGGTGTTGGCAGCTCGCTTTATGTACGATGGGTTTCTCATTTGCGGCTACAATAGACAAGTTTCTTTATATGGCAAAAGGACAGTATGTAGAGTATGTACGTATATTAGATCCTCTCTGTTGCTGAGGCGTGGAGGTGTCCATCGGGCCCGACCTGACGGGTTTAGAAGCTTTAAACGTGTCCCAAGCCTAACAGGCATGTCTAATCAAGTTTGATCTCCTCAGTCTTTCCAGTCTTGATATCAAAGAGAAATCCACGAGCCGTACTCTTGAGTTCGTCTCTGATCACTTCATTCTTGCGGAGCCACTTGAGATCCCCTCTAACACTGTCCGCCATGCTGCAATCACTTGTTAGCCACTGAGTTATTCATTGCATCTGCAGACTCAACACTTACTCGGTGTTGGCGCCCCAGTCAATCTGGTCAATCTCTTCCCAATGACTCTCGCCAACTCGCACTTTAACGGTGTCGCGCATCCACTCGTTAGTAAACATGGTTGAGCCACAATCAGTATGATGAACAATAACGAGCTCGTCGATCACGAATCGCGTGTCTAGAAGAAGGATGTCCCGGACAGCGAATCGGATGTTGCCGCCGGCATTCCGTGAGACCATGACCACTAGATGCGATTAGTTTCTGTAGTGGCGACTGCCTTGTTCTTGACCTACTTTCGCCCTCTGGGACTCCGAGATTGAAGTCGATGAACTTGTCGACGCTACATCGAGGATCAACGCAAGCGACTGTAATATCTCATTAGCAGATACTCAGGGGCAATTTAATACATGTTCACGTACCGACGATGGTAAGGCGAGGCTTGGTAACCTTGTTCACTTCGGCGACAGTTGGGAATGGTGTGAAACTCTGGGGGCTACTGCATGGTTAATGGTTGTAGATAAAACAGAGTATTGCGAAAACATACTTATGGGCCTCAATAAGATCTGCAACAGTCTTGTTCATTTTTGCTTGCTTGGAAAGGGTATTTAGGTAGATGCTTCAAGTAACTGGCGCGTGGTGCTGATTGAAATACTTAAGAATTTAGAATTGGAGGTCTAACCTCTATTATATTCATTTTCTTTTCTATTTTTTGCTAAGAATCCTCCAAAATGTCCTAGCTTCTCAAGAACAGGCTGCAATAGCTTTTACAAATCAAGATCGCCGTTAAGTGGCATTATTATCAGTAATCCGCCCGGGAGAAGTTGGTTACAGTCGTGTTACCCGAGACTATTCGGATACTCTCTTATTCTTATTGATTGGTGTTTTCATGATAAATCAATAAGACGCAGGTTGGCTAGTCCTGACTTGTACTAGTGGTTGAGATTCATAAGCATAAACACAGACGTATGTATTCCGAACTGGGTCGGATATTAACTCAGCAAACCAATTGAGACAGACGCCTACTTATATCCAAGTCTAATGTTCCAAGCTGAGAGTCATGATTACTGAACATAAGCAGTAAGGAAACCTGTGACGCAGGTGGCTGTAAAGACCTGTGACTTGATATGATGCCACAAACGTGTTGCAACACGCCAAAGCTCACAATGCAACCCTACAAGCATCTCTGATATCGGCGATTATACATAACTCGCCCGAGCCCGCATGGAGAGCCTCTCGCGTTTTCTACAGTTTCTGACACATCTTGTTATCCAGTTCTCTAGCACTCTATGGATAAATATTATGGCAGTAACTGATTTGTCAGAATTTCTGTTAAGCATTCTCTTATATAATGTTGATATGCCAACCCAACGTCGAAAACATTACCAGCTACATTGAAACTCATCCAAACTATTAGCCTACATTTTATCGCATCTTTTCAGTCAACACCATCCATTATGGCATCATCAACTGCTGGCCCCTTCCCTTCTTTTCCTTTAACAGGGATAGAATTTCCGACAACTTCCCTCGTGTTATCTTCATACCAACACGCGAAAAAGTACGCGACTCCAGGTGTTCTAAATCACGTCCTCCGGAGTGCAGCTTTTTGCCTTCTTCTCCAGAAGAAGATGCCCGAGTTTACCAAACTCGGTGACTCTCTTGACATCGAGCTCGTTGTCGTAAGCTGTCTTCTTCACGATCTCGCTTGGTCCAAGACGAAGGAGCTTGTCACGAACACAAGACGATTCGAGGTTGATAGTGCGAACCTGTCTCGTGAGTTCATCAACGCAACGTCGGATAAGGATGGCAATTGGGAACAAGGCAGTCGCCGTATGCAGATTGCCTGGGATGCCATCGCACTTCATACAATGGAGACCATTGCACCGTGGAAAGAGCCTGAAGTCGCGCTTGTTCACTTCGGTGTCCATGGGGATCTTCTTGGGCCCAATCTGCACCTCCTGGGTCTGCCGGAGGACCTCCCTAACTTAGAGGGCGTTATAACGGAAGAAGAGTTCAAAGAGATTTCCAACGCATTTCCGCGCATGCATTTTGCAGATGAGTTTAAGGAGATCTTTTGCGGCTTGTGCCGGGGCAGAGGTCGTTATTCTTTCGATAGCAATGTGGTGAACTACGGATTGGAGTGGGGATATGATGGGAAGGGTACTGGAGTGGAAGAGTTCAAGAAGTTAGTGGAAGATGCCCAGCGAGCCAAAAGCCTGTACGGTGTCATGAGTGATATTGATAAGCTTTTGGATAGAGCTTAGCCATTGAGTTCTGGTTGGGTGCGGTATGGGAGAACAAGGAATGAAAGCCATATCTTAGCAGTAGTACAAGCTTATTAGCTAGAGAGTTCTCAAACATTTTTTTGGTAGAGGAGTAGCAATACATGTAGTACTAAAAGTCGGAGAGACAGGTCCCTAACTATCTACAACCATCTTCAATCATCTTCCCAGCTTCCATTGTCTCTGATAGATATCCACCAGCCACTTAGTAGCGAACAATCTCCATGCGCTTCTTGAGGCGGAAAGCAATAGCACGCTTTCGCGAAGCAGCAGACTGAGTGAAAGCACCAGAGCCACCGAAAGGACCAGCAGCGGCTCCGTTGCGGACACGAACGATGCAGACGTTGTTGGCGCCTCCGACAGAGCCTTCGCAGGTCATACCCTGGGGCATCTGGACCTTGAGGGGGAAGTCGGTGTTGGTGGCGAGTGAGAGACCCTGGATGCCGATTCCAGGAACATCTTGGGTCACCTCTGCGGTTTGGAAGGCATCGGGGTCGGTGCCGCCGGATGTAGCGTCGATTTCAGCTGTCATTGGACCGGCGCCGTCTTGGTTGATCTGGGGGAGTTAGTTAGGATACCCAAAGAGGATGAATGGGACTTACCTGTCTATAAGTCATGGTGACCTCGCCGTTATCAGAAGCTGTAGGCAAGCCCTTGGTAGCCCCCTCTCCAGCAGAAGCAGCAACGCTAGTCTCCTCAGCAGTCTCGGTCTTCTCACCGCCGCCTCCACGGCCACCGCCAAAGAGTCCTCCCAAGAGGTTACCCAACTGGCGCCTCCGGTTGTTGTTGTTGTTGCCCTGGTTGTTACCCTTGGGCAAGTTGGAAAGATCGTCCTCAACACCAGCAGCACTTTCAGTGCCATTGTTGGTAGGGACGTTATTAGCGTTTCCGCTGCCCAAGAAGCTGGAGATCATGACGGAGGCGTCAACAGGGCCGTTACCCTGGGTCCTGCCCAGAGCGCTGGCTTCACCACTGCGGATCTCACGATCACGAATGATGGAGGTGTCGGCTTGAGAACCGCATCGGTTGCTCGAGCAATCACGGGGAGTTCCATCAGCAACTGTTCACTGTCAGTGTTCTGTTGTGCAGTACCAAATGGGATGGCAACTTACTGCTGAGACCAGGCATGGTAACTCCATTAGCTCCCTCAACAGAGAGGACGACTCCATGAGCAGAAGCCATGGCGAAGAAGGCAGAGACGATAGCAAGAGAATGCATTTTGAAGGTTGTATAGATCAAAAGAGGATTATTAAAGTTTGTGTTGCTGAAACTGAGCCGCCAGGGCTAACTTGAGACTTTCTTAGAAAGGAAGTGAAGAGAAGAGAAGATGATTGAGATGCTGTTGGATTATTTTCCAAGATGTCGAATGATCCGACTCTTATATACAAATTTGCGTCTATATCGCAAGTTTGATGTTTGATATCGCCCTCCTCGGTTGTCGGCTGGCCATGCCCTCCCCAGCGCTGATCATCAGCGATCATCAAATCGCATCAGGAGAAACCCCAACCTCAGCTTCAGGTCATTGTTTCCATTTGTCTCAACGCCTCTCACAGCCACATATTTTCTTCTCGGGAAGTCAGTTCACGAGTCTCAAGTCTTGACCCATGTTTCAAAATTCTTGGTGTTTCATGTTTCGCTCAGGCCTCTTCCCCCTCCCCTACGGATCTAACGTTGCACCCAAAAGACTTGACACGTGAAACTCTCCGTTCTAACAATTCGGAGAGTTCTTGGCTTTTTTGGTGAATGCGATTGGTTTCTCAGATTTTTGCATCTTCTAAACACCAAGACGTTTGAACTCGTGATTCACTCACGTCGGCCGCCGCGTATTATTAATAGAGATCAACCCTGGGCCTAACACGCATTTAGGGAAGAGTTTTAATGGCTTTGTTTGCGAGAGAATGTTCTTTTGATCGGCGCTAATAGGTTCGTGTTTTTGGTGATGAAACCGGAAACGAAGAGTACCAGGTAGGCGCAGCTTTTCGCGAACAAGAGGCCAAGGGTAGAGGAGAAGTATGGTCGGCGAAGCCGAAGTATTGATATATTTTATTATTCTTGTGGTCATTCGCAGTTTATCCCTCGCTTATACCGCGGCAACGTTGCTTTATTCTATTCAATTCCTGAAGAATGATGCGCTGTTGTTTGTAGATGTGAGCAGTGATCAAGCGTTCCGTTTATGCAAACATATTCCATCGTTTATAAACAATTCATGCGTTATTGTAAGCTCTTAGACATAATTGAGTCTATTTACTGGGTGCAAATCCATGTGCACTCAATCTTTTCGGCCGAGTGCCGAGCCGGCAGATCTCGGCATTCTCTCCACCAAGTCCAAGTCCACTCCACTCCAGGAGTCTCACGATGCTGAAACAGCCACTTGGCGCCCCGTTTTGACAACGTTTCACCGCCACTTTTCGGGCTTGACACATTCAGCTTTCTTTTTGCTTAAGTATTAAGCTGAGAATTAGGCGCTTATAGCTTAACTCTGAAGAACAGGCGGTTCCATCTACGTCAAAGCGTCATGACTGCTACCCCAACCTCCAGAACATTTTCTGTGTCATGTTCCAAGACTTGGCTTCTATCGCGAGGTCAGTGACCTGTCGCAACTTTTGAGGGAGAGAGGGCTGTACAAGAATGAAACGTCGCAGATGGACTGAGCAGCTTGCCCGGATTGGAAAGGCATGCGAGCTGGTTCAGTGTTTGGAATCATTATTAGCTTAAGCTGTAGAAGACGTCCTATTAGCCAAGATACGCCGCGCGACAAAACACTCTCGATATTCCTGTTTGATAGGAAATAATCTGTTGCAGTCTCGACACTCGACCAAGACCGTAATTGACTTGTATCTGTCACCTCTCACATTTGCTACCGCACGCGGTTGGCGCGAACAAGACTGCCCTTTACTTGGTCACTTGTGGTTTGGATAAGGTATGTAATTGGGATAATGCCTATAGCTATTTCAAGCGGACTAAAGTATGTACGATCTGTTAGCTAGATAACAAGAAAGAAAAGCAGAAATGCGACTTGGACTACAAAAAGCCTCTATCTATCCTTGGTTGATAGGGTCATTGATAGGATCAACACCCTTTGCAGTACCAATACGAGCCTCGAACCAGAATCGCAGTCTCTCAACCAACCCGCGGTCCGACATGAATCGCGCAAACTCAGCCGGGTTGGTGGCAGTCTCGTTGCGAAGATCGGGGAAGCCCTCTGGAGTGGCGATGTCGCGACGAACAGACCAAGTACCCATGGCAGTCTGGTACTCCTCGCTGAGGATGAAGTTGTGCAGAAGCTTGGCTCCCTCAGGATGAGGAGCGTCCTTGAGAATACCGGCGTACTGCGACCAGGAGACGTATTTGCCGCGTGTAGGCTGAGAGAACTTGATAGGCTTGGATTCGCCGAAGCCTCCGCCGGCAGCGAAGTAGGCAGCTTCGGTGGCGTTCTTCTGGCTGATGATGGCGCCGGGGGTTGCTGTGCCACGGACCCAGCGAGGGTTTTGCTTGAGGAGACCCTCGAACCATGACGCTCCGTACTCTTGCATGCTGCAAATTGGTCAGCTTTATCGCCTTAAAGGATTTGATTGAACTTACATAAGATAATAGGCGTAAAGAACTGCGTCGTCGTCGTTGGGGTAAGTCAGGACAAGTCTGTTCTTGAACTCCGGTCGAAGCCAATCGGTGTACTCGGCAGGTGCCTTGATGCCGCGAAGCTTGTCTGTGTTCCAGGCATTGGCCCAGAAGAAGATGTACACTCCATACCAATAAGCAGTGCTATCCTTGAACGCATGGTCAATCTGGTCAAAGCCCTTGGGGGCGTAGTTGAGCAACGCGCCCTCCTGAGCCCAGCGAGGATAGTCGTTCAGGGTCTGCAGGATGACGCTATCGACGTAGACTGACTTTCCACCAGCCGCAAGTTGCTGATCAACTCTGACGTCATGGTATTTGGATAGATCGACGGTGACATTTAGCTTGATTCCGGGGAAACGCTTCTCGAAGGCTTGCTTCAGGCCAGCTTGTTGGTTGACTGCATCTCCGCCGTGCCAGAGCGTAACGGTGTCTCCCTCCTTCAAGGCAGCTTTGTAAATCTCGTCGAGGCTTCTGGTCTCGACCTCGACTTTTTCGTTGAACCCGAGGACCTGGTCATAGCTCATGACAGAGCTAGCCAGAAAGGCGAGCGAGAAGAGAGATTGCTTCATATTGGTAGATTTGAATGATGAGAAGATGATGCTCTTGGCCTTCATTTTCTCGTCAACGGACATCAGGTATTTATACAAATGGTCCTCGATACGAAAACTTGATTTAGCCTACGTTACATAACTCAATCTGGCTCGGCAATACCGCGAGGGTGTTTCCGGCCAAATCGAGGATAGAGTTTTGTCAATGCCGATCTCGCATGATGGCTTATATGAGTACCGGGATTACGTGATGCCCCATGTTTCTACGATTCCTCCAATGAGGAGCGCGATTGATTATCGACGCGCGCGGCTCGGAGGGGCAGTGGGATAGACCTCATCCCGCCGACTCTGCTTAGTCGTCATTTTCGTACTCGGCCTTCCTAAAGAGAACAAGATGACCGTGGTCGCATTACGTAGTTTTCTATATCCGCGACTCGTGGTGAGGCTGAGCGTGAACTCAAAATTGGCAGGGATGACTTTTTGAGAAGAAATCCTCGTGATGGCTTGTGACACTGACAAACGAGATCACATCAAATCTAAGTCCTGTCTGCTGGTTTAAGCTCTCAGCTACAAGATCACCATGTCGAGGCCGGGTTATTACAGAGTCGCAATTGCGTTTGCCCATTGTTTATGATCACGGTTAAACGGTTATCCAGGAACCGACATGACAGTCATGCTGGTTCGGTTTAGCGATCCCATGTTACTTCATGATTCGATTGCACTATGGATTATACACCGCCTGACTCAGGATGCTTGCTCCTTTTATACGTGACAGCGACCCATATTATTCCACCAATTACGCGAGTGTCTTCTCGCCCTTCTCAATAATGGGGGGAGGGCGCTGAATATCCTTGCGAAGGACGTAGCGCTTGAAGATATAAGGCAGCCAGACCTTTGTCTCATGAGACAAGAAGCTCTTTGTAGGGACGGAAAAGACCTCTGTTCTGCGTGTTAGTAAATGCGCCTCAATGATGTTATAGTGGGGAAGACTTACGATCCAATTCCTCAAGGGTCATCTGCTTAGTTTCACGAACGAAGCAGAAGATCATACCCCAAGCGATGAGGTTAAGTCCGGCATAGAAGCCGAAAGCTCCAGTGGGTGTCATGACAGTCTTCATACGAGGGAAGGTTAAGCCAAGAACACCAGCAAAGGTGTTGTTGATGCAGACAGCCCAAGCCATACCCTGCTCTCGCTGAATGGTGGGGAAGACCTCAGCCGAATACTGGAAGGCGACAGGTCCCTCACCAAGACAGTAGGCGATAGTGAAAAGGTAGACGAATAGGACGACGGGACCGATGTTGGCAGCTCGGTTGTCGCTGTTGTTGAGAAGGGAGAGACCACCTGCTAGCAAGAAGATGCACATGAAGGGGAAAGTAGCCAGGGTTAAGAATCGTCGACCCTTGGTATCGATCAAGAAGAGAGTAGGAATGGTGAAGACAACCTGGATAGCACCATATCCCAAGGAAGCATACAGAGCCTCGTCGTGGCTATAACCAGCCTCTCGGAAGATACTAGAGCTGTAGAAAGAGATGATATTGATACCGCACATCTGCTGGGCCAACATGACAGTGCTAGCACCGTAGTTAGCACGTCGAATTCTGGGAACAGCGAAGCAGTCCCAAAGACGAGCAAAGTAACCAGCGCCAGCATTCTCGCGAAGCTCCTCGTGGTAGATGACGTAAGAGTAGTAGTAATCACGAGCACCGATGATGGGGTGAGCTCGAAGCTTGGACATGGAGACGAAGCCATCGGCGATGCGACCGTGCTTCATCAGCCAACGGGGAGATTCGGGGCAGAAGTAGATGCCGGCTGCGAGGAAGAAGGCGGGGATGAAGGCTGAGCCGAGTTCGAGACGCCAGGCGATGTCGCCGATATCTTTGACGATGACATTGGCGCAGAAACCGAGGAAGATACCTGTTGTTGTTAGTATATGGAGGTTCGAGTCACTGTATATGAGAGATGTCTTACCAATAACGACCCAAAGCTGCCAGAACATGACGAGGGCACCTCGAATTCGAGCAGGGGCCATCTCAGCTGAATAGATAGGCACGGTAGCATTCTTTGCACCAATACCGATTCCCATAATGAAACGGATGGCAAAAAGCTCTTGCCAGTTCTTGGCGAAACCTGACGCGATAGGGGTTGCTACCAAGCAACAGGCTGTGATGAAGATCTCTCCACGTCGGCCGAAGTAGTGGTTAAGAGGGTCAACGATAAAGGCACCACTGAAGATGAGATGTCAGATGAGGTCACAATATAGTAGGTGAGAGGTGAAGCTTACATCAGACCAGCAGTAAGGAAGATGATGGAGTTGATGATACCGACAATCCACTCGTCACGTCCCTTACCATCGATACCGAACTCTTTGGGGAACGAGAGATTAGCGCCATTGGCACCTGTCTGATCCCATCCCTGTGTAGCAGCACCAACAGCGCAAAGACCAATTGAGTACCACAGCATCTTGGATCCATGCCACTTGTGGTCTCTCTCATAGATGAGAGCAGCGCGTTCGTCATCGAGAAGATCAGCTGATTCGAAGCTGTCGGGGTCACGAGCGATGAGAGCGGCTCGGCCGAAGAGGTCGACGTGCTCGGACATGCCATTGGACTCGGCAAAGGCGCGAGCGTCAGCGACGACTTGATCCTTTGTTTTGCTCTATGATGTCGGTTAGTAATTGGAGATATTTAGATGAGAGGGAGTTGAATGTACCTGCAGAGGGTTCTGAACGATGTTGAGAGCGACGGATTGACGACGACCCTGAGAAGCGTGCTCTAGAATCTCAGCACCGCCCTTCTCAGGCGGAGGCGTGACGGTCTTGTCATCGTAAGACGAGCCACCATGGCCAGGTGAAATATCCTTGTCATCCATGTTTAAAGTCCAGTAGTTGAGCTATCAGGACAGTGAGAAAGAGAAAGAAGAGAGACACTACTGAAACAAGAACAACAACGAGATCTTCACAACCTGAGGCTGGATTATATATAAGCTTAAATTTAAAGCACGGCAGTTGGCAACCCTCTGGGGTCAAACTTGGCAACCCGAGCGTGTCCACCCTTGCCAAGCCCAGGCAGCAGGTTAACAGTCTTGGCCGGCATGATATCACCTCGCGCCAAGAGCGTGTTGGAGGTGTGCTACCCCGTGGGATCAACGCGGAGAAGGTGGTTTTATTGGACCAGAGCACTAGAGTGGGGGACCGTGGTAGTACTTTTGCTTGCTTATGCTGGTTTACTGTCTGCAATTGAAGATCATTGCCTTGTCTACGGACCATCAATCGCTACCGATTTGCAATTCCTGTCAGATTGCCCTGTTGTTATGAGGCATATCGACCTCAGATACGAAGGATTGAGATTACTGAGATATCCCCAGCTTTCACCTCATGCGGAGAAGACTAAGAAAAGTGGCTTTAGGCACCGAAATTCTTTCCCCCTTCTCCCCCTAAAACCCAAGCTTTTCCTCTGTCCTCCCCGCTTACCCCACATGTTGTGCCATGGGGGGATTCAACCGCCAAAGTCTTGGCCCATCCTTTGAATTTCTCCACTTGAGCGCTTGATCCAATCATTGGTATGTTTATTTCACTGCCTGTTTTTTAGATCAGGAATTTGGTCTGAGCGTTTTGGGGAAAACGGGCGTTGGCGAACCATGTGAAAGAGGAGGACTCGAGGAGTTGGTGCTAAGTGGGACGGAGTGCGAGAATACGGGTGCCTAATTGAAGTTATTGAGTGTTGATTAGTTGGTGAAAATTCTGTCGGCGAAGATGAGGCTCGGGTATCTCGGGCAATGTTATTGAGGATTGATCGTTTATGGCTTGCATGGTCAATGCGACCCCGTGGCTTGAGCCTCGAGTCAATTGACCGGGCAGCGGTAGGCGAACCGGTCGCTATTGAATCGTTGCGGGCCATTTCTGTCAGCAGTGAAATTAAGTTACGACAAGTCGTTAACGTTATATATAAAGTTAAAATGCGATCGTCGTTGTTTGTGTTGATCGGAGTTTCACTGCGATCGATTATCGGCGGAACAAAAAGTCAACAAACGGTTTCAACGTTCAATATGACGATGATTCTCTACCCTGGCTCATCGGAGCATTTCACGATAGTCGAGATGCTTCCAGCCATGTTCGCTAACCCAAACAACACTAGCCAAATTGCGGCTCAATCCAAGGTCGAGAGTGGCCTGGTCATTGTCATACCCGGGTAGTCTTCTGTATTCAGAATCATGCCATAGTAAATAGATTTATGTGACAAATACGGAGTACCTACCAACATCTACCAAAATGGCCAGGATCCTTCCATGTTTCGCTCAACTCAATTTCGTGATCAAATCCCGTCGCGTAGCGACCAACGCGTCTCCACTCTTCCGTTTTCTCTCCAACATGCATCGGGTTGTATCGGGAATACCGGAAATGGCCTCAAAATCTCTGAAACAGGACCATGTCTGTCGGTATGTCTGGCCATCCCAGTCTTATTCCCTCATACGCTGGACCCAATAAGCAGGATTAACACATGAGATTGCGGGAATGCGCTGGTAAGACGGGAGGTAAGAAGAGGCTTAGTAGCCAAGATGTCCAGCGGAGCAAAGAGCTCCATTGGGACACGTTCGGGTAAAGTGTCGGGGCCCCATGGGAAGATTCTGGTGGTCTCGCGTGCCTTGGTTTGATCCTGCAAATCTGGGGCAACAACATGCAATGTCTTTAGGTGTTCGGTCCTATACCTTGATCTGCGCTTTATATTACCAGACTCAGAGAATCATGCAACTTTGAGACCCTTCTCCTCGGAAGTTCCTGGCTAAGATGTCGAGCCAACAGGCTTCAGAACAATTGGATGAGGGGCTTACTAAAAGCAAAACCAAAAGTGAAGACGCAAACCTCGATATTTTATGTCTTAACCACAACAACGACTAAAACTCATCTACAAAGTGAGAAAAATGTAATCCTGATGGCATTGAAATTATTATAAGTTAGTGATTTAAGGTCTGTAAGACTTAAATCTGCCACTCCGTGGATTAAAGACATGTCAAATGCTTATCTGAAGTTGGTTGCAAAAATACCCTATAACAATACGTTCAAATTTGCGGCCTGAGGCAGCACAAAAAAAAAAAAACGCACGGGATACCTAAAGCAGCCATCTTGACGTCACCCACTTTTTTCCACCGGCCAAGCTAAGCCAGAACTAATTAATGGCATCCCTGGCATGCAACGGATAAACTTGCGCCGTCCTTGCGCACAGACAAAGCGCCATTCCAGACAAAACACGTGAGAGGCCTTGCGTGTCTTGCATCTCAAGCATCACGCTACAAAATCCATTTACTTTACATTATCTATGATCCGCTTTATTTATGCCTTTTTTTAAATAATACCTTTAGAGAGGTATTAGATATTTATCTTACAACTTCATTTTAAGGGTATACATGCCTACATAATTATATACTCAATAAATAAATGCCAAGATGTCTAGCTCCTGTCAGCTGTTCAATATCTTATGATTGTTGCATATCAGGATGTCGTATTTGGCCTAGGAAACAGAACTAGTAGGGTGGCTTGCAGATTTATTGAATATTACACAAAGACAGTCTAGATTCATCAATTTAGGCTGGCTGAGGAAGAATGGCCAGATGGTTAAAGCTGGCTAGCAGCAATGATAGAATTCCCATCTATTTCTTCTTCAAAAACTCCAGGCTATCAATAATCGGTCTACTATATTTTCAGACACCACTGTTATATCGCAGCCTTACTCTCTCTTTCTTGGAACCCCTAAACAGAAAGAACAATGGCAGACCTAGAGATTGAAGATAAGGTATGGGAATCAGAGGTGATCTTCATTGATTCTCTCAAGCAAGAAGGCACTGTGTACCGCCATGTGCCAAACCTCAAACTTGACCCTACGGATAGGGACCCAGAGCCCTTAGGCACATACTGTCCAGAGGGGGAATTCTATGTCAGACTTGTAAGGCGTCAGTGCGAAAGACTTAGCGTGTTGGAAAAGGAGCCGGAACTATATTTATCTGTCCATTTTCTCAACATCTGTATGACTGGTGACAGCAAAACCCACTACCAATGGCAGGCTTACCGAACACCTCAACACGATGACGACATGGTTTTTCAGCCCATAAAAGGAATAGACGGCAATCGCACAGGCTATTATCGACCGGTCAAAGAGCTGGAGTATCGGAAGTGGAAGAGTATGATAGAAAGCCCCCCCGTGGGCACTGGTAAGGACACGATCAGAGGCGGGTATCAAGTTCCTGCTCGCAGACGAAATGGCAGGGCGGAGATGGTCGGGCTGCACAAAAGGTTCACGAGCATGGCAGATGCTGAGTTATGGGCGAGTATATTTCGGAGTGCAACATCACTATGGAGCATCAGCAATGCAGGAGCTGCGTTCCGTGGTATTGACCCTAAGGGGATCACGGTCTACATCCTGCCAAGTTCAAGAGTCAGGGGAATCGGTGAAGGAGCTAATATCACTTGGACCGATGTGAAAGATGGATTCGAGGAATTGCCCAGCCGTCTGAGCACCAAGTACACTGTTTTGGAAAATAGTCAGGCTATTGAAGACAAGGGGTTGGTGTTGGTCGGTTCCCCATTTGCTTTTGGTATTCCAAACTTGATTCTTGCTAATCATCTGAACCTCGATAGTATTCCAACAATCCCTTTTTCTACTACAGCTCATACGTTTCCAAGGATACCGCAGAGGCATTTGGATTATACTCTTCTCGGCCTCTGAAGCTCTATACCGACGAGGCAGGTGACAAGCTAGCAGAGAAGATGGAGCCTCGCCAATCAGATGTCAAGATCCAGAAGAGACTTGCCAGAGATGGAATCGTGATGGAGAGAACTAATGGATCTATTAGCCTTTCGGCTTCCCGTATGCTGAAGGCTACTTCCAAGCGAAGCGAGACGAGCTCACAAAAGACTGTGATGGGCATTTCGGCACCGGAGGTACGTTTTTTCTTCCCTCCCTCTACCTTCGATCTTTGTCGTGGCTCGGCTGACATGGCAGCTTGCGAGGGACTACCTGGGTTGGGGGAGTCAAAACAAAGACACATCTAAGAGCGGCCAAGATAAGCATACAGCAGAGGTGAGTAACCTATAACCCGTGAGCCAGGTAAAATTACGAGATAGGCCATAGTGTTTTAGAAACGCTAGGGTTACCACACGATGCTGATCAAATCATGGCTGGCAGTGGCTTCATATTAGTGCCTTTTCCTTTGGCGGACTGACCGACGGGTCCAAGGCGTGGGAAACGAGCCAAATCCAACCCAACATGATGTTTGGCACATGGGAAATGAACTCGTGGATGCTCAGATACGAAGCTGCCTTTCAAAGGCTGTTCAAGCTCGAGCGCGACTTCAGAAAAAAAGCCGAGGTGGTTGGCCAGTTACGCTTCGAATCCTTCGAACCTCCCGAGCAAAATGAAAAGTCTTGGTTCGACAGCTGTGACTGGATCCATTTCGAAATACAATGGAATCTAGAGATGAAGGAAAAGTCACATCTCCTTGATAGAGACTTGCTAGCTATGGGCTTGAGGATCAACCCTTTTAATAGATCCTGCTTCACCAAGGGTGAAGCCATGGTCGACATCGCCTTGCTCAAAACGATTTTCAATCGCAAGGCAGAGGGCTTACCTAGGGCGATGAAGAGTGAAAGGCTTGGAGCAGAGTCCGTGTTGACCATTAGTATGGGCAAGCAAGATGATGGGAGGGCCTTTGAGGTGCTTCTAGCAGATCTTGAAACCCAACTTGTTTTGTCAGGCAACATCAACCGATTAGACTCCCCTGACGACCTTCAATCTCAATTTACTCAGCCTAGAGACTCTCTCTTTACGGCTGTTAACAATGAAGCTGTTGAGATGAAGACCCTGGAGGCACCAGGAAAAGGGGACATGATTGTTGTTGGAGGTATCCCCTTGACCAATACCAGACTGATTGTCCTGGATCACCAGGGCAAGTACGCAAACCTCCCAGTCACTGTTCGGGGTATTGATAGCTTTGCCAACGAGGCTGGACTACTGTTGGTACCAGCCGCTCGAGAAGGCCAAATCACCGTCGCCCAAGCATCAAAGACGAAGCCTATCCTCATATTATCCTCATCTCCACGCCTCGGCATGGAGGTTATTGCGCCTTCAATCGCTACAGTCTCTCAGGTGGCTGAGCTAGCCACTAAAACCTTTAGAGAGGCCGGCGCGTTGCCTGCTGCAGATTATGTCCTCCAAGGCGACGTTCAAGGGCTGTTTGGCATTCCTGGTCTTAGCGGTGAGCTGTTGAGTATTCAGGGCTCAGGTCCCCAGGACCCAATACAGGAGAAGGTCAAACCCTACCTCAGCAGCTCTGCTGATGGTTACATTGCGACCCTGTTTCCCTCGCTCAACAGCGATATAATCCAGAAGTTACCGATAGATAACGTTGAGTTTACGTACTCGAACAAGCTCGACGACTTTCATAACCCGGAGGGACTATCACTGAACGCTGACATTACCTTTACGGGGCCGCTAAGTCCTGTAAAAGAGCTACTGCAGTTCATCTACAGTGGAAACGAAGACAACACGCCACCCACAAAACTTCGAGTCCAGGCGCGACTGAGCCCAGAAAGAAATTGGCGTGAGCCGCTAGAGTTGAACAACTTTGCCTTGCGAGGCTCCGTCGATCAATCGCTTTGGCTTGGAGATATTATAAGGTTCCGGAAGGTCGGCGTAGAAGTGTCTGTAATCAGCATTTCATCGTTTGACAATGACAAGAACAAGACAACCTGGAAGCTTGGATATGGATTGTGTGGAGAGCTGGAGATCAGCAAGATTCAAAAAACCGGTTTGCCACTGACCGTCAAATACTGGATGAGAAAGATTGGCGATACCTACAGTCTCAGCATGGCCCTTTCATCGCACGAATGGACTTCCGTCTTTGGTATTGAGAATCTTGATGTAGGTCATTCACATGGAGTGCAATACCGTCATGGAACTAACGATCGTAATGGTCACAGGAGTCGAGTTCCAAGCTTCGATAGACATTAACAACTTGGAAGAGTCTCTTGTACTAGGTGTCAGTGCAATGATGAAGCTTGGCGATGGGGATATCTTCCTAGCAGGGCAGTATTCAAAATGTAAGAAGGATCCCTCTCAACTTTGACCCCATACTATATACTGACTATGGGATAGCGGAAACCTACCTAGAAGCTGAAGTCGGGAATATGACATGGGATGAAATCGTGAAGGCTTACACCCAAATCACAGGCAAGTCTGTTGACGCTGCAACAAATATCGATGAGCTGGAGTTCGAGAATATGTACATCATGTTTTCTACTGCCGGGATCGAGATCAGGGGCAAGATCTGCTTCAACGGCGCAACCAGTGCCGCGGGATACATCATGTTCGACGATGAGGGCCTATCTATAGGCGGTGCCATTGGAAGCTTTCAGGTTCCCGACACGAACATAGTGATTGAAGAAGCTGGTCTTGACATATTCATTGGCTCTAGGGGAAGTGACAAGACAAGTGGTCGAGCTAGTAGGCTAGCGCTCAAGGGTCTCGTCCATTTTCAAGGCATCAGAGTGGCTGCGGGACTTGAAACCAGCACTGATGGGTCGCCGAACTCACGGAGATGGATTGTCTATGGTGCCTATGAAGGTAATCTTCGACTGTCCGCGTTGGAGGCAGCTAAGACTCTCAAAGAGCATCCAGATCTGGATATTGAACTAAAGTACGTGGCCATCATAGCATCCAACAAAAGGGGCATCTGGACAGACCCTTTGAGCAAGAGAAAATACTCTCTTTCTAATGGGCTCTCACTCTTTGCACTCATCGATCCCCTACCAGCAATCAACAACCTCGCAAGGAACAAGACAGTCCGTGGATTGACTCTCATCGCTTCTATCAGTGCTGAGAGGCTCTCGGTGGCAATTGAGCTTCCAGACAGTATCGGTGTAAGTGAACGAACGTTTCTAAATTGCCAAGAAGCCACAACTGATCTGCAATAGATAGATATGGGCGATATTGCAAAGGTCGACCGGTTCTCTGTTAGGCTGGACATCTCAAGCACGCCCAATTTGACGCTCAGCTGCGACTTACGAATCAACATGGCTCAACAGCCACCGCTGACATTCCATTCCAATCTTAAGGCATTACTACACGAAGCAAACGGTGAAATGTAAGCATCAGTTGAGTCAAAATCTTCAGTTGGTGACTAATATTTATGACTTTAGTTACCTTGACCCCGAGGTCCCATGGAGGAATCCTTTTGGCGTTAGCGATAAGATTGTCGTGCAGAAGCTGGGCGGCAGTGTTGCGTTCAGATATGCAAGCGTTCTGGTGGAAGGCCCAAGGTAAGATATACATTGCCTATCTTTACGGAGACCTCCGTCTGCTGATAATGGAATCATGAATAGTGAGCTTGCCTTTGGAGGCATGGTAAAGTGCGGTAATTTCACGGGAGAAGCTTTTATTGTCGTGACTAAATTGCCTACTCGTCAAGTTCTCAAGGTCAATATATCAAATGTCAACGTGAGTGAGCTAATTAGAATGGCTGGGGAAATTGGAGACTTGGACGCACTGCGAAATATCAGCGCCGGCGACTTTCTTGTCTTCAATAAAGCTGAAATGTACTTCTCTACTGGTATTGAAGAAGCCCTGGGAGAGGAATTCCCTGCGGGAATCTCAGCCAAGGGAGATGTCACGGTGTTCGGGAAGAGGGCCAACTTCGAGGCATCACTGGGCTCAGGGGGCTTCGAGCTGAGGGGCGAAGTGGATGCCTTCAAGATTGGCCCCCTTGAGGTGCGCTCTGCCAGCGGAAACCCACGAGCGAAGCTTCAAATTGCCACGACTTCCGAAAAGCAACTGTTGGAGATTGACGGCTTGGTAATCATCGGAGGAGACGAAGGTCTGCAGATTGGGGCCCTGATATGAGCTTCCTTAAATCCAGTATTCTTGGACGTCTGGGTCTTTGTGAGCTTTACAGACCAGATCAAGTTTGATCTAAGAGCCGTGGCCACAAACGTGGCGAACCTCAAGGACCTCTCACAAGCAAATGTGAACTTCACTCTCACTCTCAACACTGAAATCTTGGAGCTTTTCTACAACGGTATTCTCGACTTCTTAGCAGAGCTGCAAAATATAGTCACAGCATCAACAGAGGCGCTCGAGTTTGTGCTTCAGAAGAGGAGGAACGAGATTTCTGACGAGGTCAAGATTAAGAAGAAGCAAATTAGTGCTCTGAAGACCAGAATCGTGGAAGAGAAGGAAATACGCGATAAGGAGAGAGCCAAAGCGGAGCTAAAGAAGCTGGAGGCGGAGGCTGAACTAGAAAAGCTGCAGAGGGCAGCAGATACTACTAAGCAGGCCAAAAAAGAAGCCGAGGGTGAGCTCAAAGACCTCTTGAAGCAGATCGACCTCGATCGAGAGGCGATAAAGGCGGAAAAGAGTCTCGAGTGGGCTTCTCTCCTTGAAAGTGCAGAGAAAGAACAAGAAAGGCTGTCAAAAGAGAGAGCCGAGCTGCAAGGCAAGAAGAAGTCAACGTTCGGGAATGTTGCCCTTGAGCTGGAGAAGTATACCGAATGGTTCAATATAGCGAAAGCGAAATTGGCAGGACTTCTAGCGGACTCGAACGAGAGGAAGAAGAACTTGCCAAATCTGGGAATACTTGCAAGAGTTAAAGAAGTACTGACCCTCAATTATGGAATAATGAGATTGATGCTAATTTGTCTGTAGCTCATCTATATCAATACGATCGACGCAGCAGCCACCTTTCTCACTAACAGACTTGAAGAGGGCGCGGGTGTTCTCCAGGACTACAGAGACACCCTCAATCGGCCGGAATTTCGCGACATAGAAATTCAGATCCAGGAAAAAGACGCAGCGCTCCAGAAAGCAACCGAAATGGTGGACAGGCTTGCTAAGCAGGGCCTTGAAGGTTTCATCGAGGCAGCACTGGAGGATAAAGACAAGTTTTTGAAAGCCAGGAAAGCTGAGCTCGATGCCATGCAAGATGGAAACTCGCGATGGATGCAGGCCATTCGTGAGGCACAGGCCAAACTTGATGCTGGGCGACCTGATCTGGATCGCATCATCGACGAGGAGCAAGAGAAGATCAACCAAGCTAGAGACAGCATGCAGCTCCGCCAGCTACAGCAAGAGCTACAATCAGCCGAGGATGAAGAGATGCGTAAGCGAGAGCAGCATGACGCCATCAGTACGGGTTTGCGCATGATTCAAAACGAGATCGATAGGGGTTCTGAGTCGGTACGACAACTGGTGCAAAGCGTCAAGCCGGTCAATTTCAAGATCAAAGGAGTGACGATTACGGCAGACGGTAAGGAGATAGCCCAGGGGCGTGCTATGAGTTTCAAGATTACCGTTGAGCATGAGGGCAAGATGATCATACTGGAGGAAACGTGGGCGCCTTTCCAGAAGCCAGCTGAATTATATCGGGATATCATGAAGGGGCTGCTTAAGAACTGAGATTGTAGTGCCTAGCCTTGTCTTACCAAGTTACACAGGAACGGATTAGGCTGGGAGACCAGTACAGCCTCTACAATGCGGATGATAAGATAGGCAATATTTTAATAATTCAAGTCTATTTAATTATAAAAGTTAACTGTAGTATATTTTTAATTATATATTTTATAATTTTATAATAAGATATTAAACTCCCGAGTTGTGTTCCTGAATAGATCTCGCCATCTAGAGGTAGCAGTTCCATATGTATCTAAATGACTCCAAAACTTCTTTAGAGAGAGAAGTAAAGTAAGCGGAGTCTGAAAAGCTAGCGAGGTATGCATCATGCTGAGGGACTCTTCGATCGTGGACCGTGACTCAGGTGTTTGAGCATGTATCGCGAGCATGAAAAGAGGGAAGAGACAGGCCTGTAGCCATGAGAGCTTCCGGAGAGGTTCGATAGCCATGGCTACGTAGTTCTGGATGCGAGGGTCGCTGGAATCGAGGGTGTAAATTTCGTGGTGGATGAAGCAAAGTAATCCAAGCTGCCATATGATGTTAAAATGCTCGACGGAATCTATGTGCTCTTGATCAACGATCGACACGTCTGGGGTCCAGTTTTCCAGGCTACGAACGAGCTCGCCGGCTCGAGCCATAAGTTTGAGAGTGTCGTCGACTGAGTTGCGAGATGCTTTCATCTGATGCACTTGGGCAGCGAGATCCGTCACCTCACGGAACATGAGGTGCATAGCATGATCAGGGAGATTATGCCACCAGAGGGACTGTATTCTGGCCCCTTGCGTGCTTTCAGCCTTCGGATCTGGGCCAGGGACTATGAAGAGATGTACTGTCAGCGGGGGATACAGTCAAAGCAGCGAAAGTTACTAACCATGGATGACGGTCCCAATTTCGTCAAGCACCTCCGGAGACACAACATCCCTCAGAAGTGTGCGGCTCATAGTAGCAGCCCAATTGTATTGAACGATCATGCACTGCAGGAACCGTCCATTGGTTCCATTCAATTTGTCCGTGGCGTTTTTAAGTAGACGGCGGCACCCAAGAAGTCTGGTACTCCAAGTGTCCAAGCCAGTATCAATGACCTGTTTCCATTAGCATCAAGCATATACGCCAGGGGCTCAGTGTGTTGCTCTTGTACATCAAATATTACCGACAGTAGGGCTGTAGCGGCGAGTCCTTCGAGGTCGGTGTCTGTGGCTATACCCTCTCGGAACGCCACTCTCATGGCCTTGCGGTATGGCTGAACGGCGAATTTGGGCAATCTCCCCAGGTTTGCTAGGTGTGATGCGGAGGCAAACAGTATTGTGCTTCGTAGCGGTCGAGAACTGACTGCAAGGTCGCCGTAAATTTCACGGTACGGATTGCAATCTGGCCTCATGGGGTAAAGGCAGAGAGAAAGGTTCTGAATGTCTGTCATCCAACTGTCAGCTGAGCTTATCGAGAACCTAGACAGAATCAGTATTACAGTGACAGAACAGATAGTCGTCGAAAGGATCAGGGATTGAGGACGGCAGAGTCGAAATATCGGTTATCCGTGACAAGATACGATTGACGGTTTCCGATTCCACGTTGATTCTAACCTCTGAGGATTCCTCGTCGTTGCTGTCCTCAAGATGCAGCCAGGAGTCTGATATGGCATCATCGACGAAGAAATCTTCAGGTCCGCAAATGGCAGGCAACACAGTGGCTTCTGCTTCTGCACCCGATGAGGCGGAGGCTAGAGTGACGTGGTTCTGTAGATCCAAAACCTCGGCGCTGCATGCCGCCAAGCCTTCGTTATTCTGGTGCGATATTCCCGTATCATCGCTCATCCCATTAGTCGCGGGCGATGCTGATTCTGGTGTATGACAATCATCAAAGTTCTGATCGGCAGAGCTTGGAGATAGGCTTGTAGTGGGATGCTGCATGACAACCGTAGCCTTGTTTGTGAGCAAAATGATATTTTGAATGGTCAATTGGGAGATTATTACCGAGTGCGTTATGGCCACGAAACTGTCGTCAGTATGGAGCTGAGATTCACCAGACGATATCAACTTGTCATTAATCGACATTGCGGCAGTATCCAAGTCTGCTGTCCTATCTCTTTCATGTCGGCCGACCTCTGACCGTGGTCCTTGCGGTTTAGCAGCTTTGTTTTGCCGACGAGGGCCAGTTCTCATGACTTTGGATACCATCTGGCCATTGCGATGCATAGAAAAGTCATCCAGCTGGATATCATAGCCACCGCAGGTAGCTCCTCGTATACGACAGTTTAAGCACTCCGGCCTCGTCTCGTCGCATTTTTGGTGACGCCGGCGGCATGTCCAACACCCTTGTAGAAGAAAGATCCCGTATTAGCTAGTAGAACCAAGGATTGACAAGGTCAGATGAAAATTACGCACCATTTCTCGACCGCTTTTGGCCCATGATTCCGAGGCTATTTGCAGCGATTTTTCTTGCAATGCAAAGGAGAGTTGATAAGTGATGAAGGCTTATCAGGAGGGGGTAGAGAGAAATGTACGTACGCTGCTTATCAGGTATCCGCCCGCTTCCATAACAGGCAAACTTAGGCTCGCTTGATTAACCCCTTTTGGGAATAGGTTCACGGAACTACTAAGTCAGATTCCGAGATGCGTACTCTTCTAGGAGCATGAGAGATGGGGAAGAGCAGATTTTAAACCTCATTCAAAGGTCTCAATTGAAGACAATTTGACTGAGTTTGACTGCTGCCAACTGTCCGTCACAATGAAATCAATGAATCAGCCCGGAGGCATCTCATCTGTCATCAGCCAGATTGAAGCTGCTGGGGACTCTCAGCAATTACCAGAGCTCTCACGCGTGACATCGACGATCAAGACCAGCAAGACCAAACAATATCTGATCACATTCCTGATACTGATATGTAATTTGACGCAGGTAAGGGCTTCCAGATAGTCTGTACTCATGTTTCGTGGCGGAGTATTGCTAACATTACTGTCCCAAGTTTATCTCCATGTTCTCGACCGTAGCTGGCGGTTACGAGCTTAGCAAGATTCTGGGGAAGCCCGTAGGGCCAGGGCAGGCCAACTGGATGGCTGCAGCTTATTCGTACGTTGATCCATCATACTCCGCTACGGAATCTACTCGACAAAGAGACTGACTCATCTATTCCAGTCTTACGCAGAGCGCTTTCGTCTTCATCAGTGGTCGTCTCGGCGCTGTTTATGGTCATCAGAAGCTTCTTCTTCTTGGAGGCATTATTATTGTCACTTTCTCCATTGCCAACGCCTTTTGTAACACTTATAACTCGTTTATTGCAATCCGCGCTCTTACTGGTGTTGGTGGCGGTATCTTGATGCCCAATGCAGTTGCTACCCTTACTATTATGGTTCCTCCTGGCAAAGTGCGCAACTTCACGCTGGCCATATTTGCGGCATCGCCTCCAGTTGGAGCTGGCATCGGAGCGCTGATGATTGGAGCCTTTCTCGAGTATTCAGAATGGAAGTGGCATTTTATCTCTGTGTATGTTGTCGTACTCTCACTTTTAGCACCTCGGACACCGCTGACTGGATCTTAGGGCATCTCTCGGGGCTATTTGTTTCTCTGGGCTGTTCTTTGTTCTACCTCCCGAAGAGCCCGCTGACAAAAGCGGTAAAATTGATTGCATTGGCATCATTACCGGCTTGGGAGCTCTTCTATTATTCTCTTTGGCCTGGAAGTACGCTTCCCCCCTCCTCTCTCCTCCCTAAACACCATGAAGCTTTGCTAACCAACTTTGAAGTCAAGCACCAGTAGATGGATGGGAGACACCATATGTTATTGCGATGCTGATCGCCTCGGTTGTGCTGATGGTTATCTTCTTCTTTTGGGAGAGTAAATGGGCCGATGAACCTATCATGCCCCCTTCCATCTTTCGCGGCAGAAGCTTCAAGGCTCTCACGGTCGTCGTCTTGTTCATTTACATGGCCGTTGGTATCACACTTTGGTACATGGTAGCATGGCAGCAACTGATACGAGGATGGTCAGTTCTCAACGTCGCTGTCGGCTGGATCCCTTATGGACTAGGGGCATCCTGTGCCGTCATTCTGGCCGCGTGGTTGATCCCCCGGCTTGAGGCACAATGGATCCTTGCCATCGGATGTGTCACCTCGCTAACAGCCACTATTTTGTTGGCTACAATGCCGGAACAACAGAGTTACTGGGCGCAAGTCTTCCCGTCAACTGTATTCGGTAGCTTCTGCCCTGATTTTGTATATGTCGCTGCACAGGTTATTGCCAGTAGCAGTGTCGGTAAAAAAGAGCAAGGGCCAGCTGCTAGTTTGATCGGGACGCTTAACCTCTACGGCAACAGCTTAGGTCTTGGTTTTGCCGGCACGATTGAGACAAACATAGCGAAGAGACATCCTGGCGAAGCGCTCGGGTTTCGGTCCGCATTGTGGTTTGGAGCTGGCTTGTCTGTCGCTGCGCTACTGATGGATTTAACAATGGTGAGAATGAACAAAGAGGACAAGGAAGGCTGGGAATCGAATGAGACGGAGCTTGAATGACCTGATAGACGAGCACAAGGTCAGGAAGTAGTACGATAGTAAACAGGAGTCTTGAGCAAACATCGTCGTTTATATTTAGCAAAAACATAGACGGGAGTGGCTAGAGGGAGTGGAGAATGAATACAAAGCGAGGACGAAAGATTAGAGGTAAATTCATTACCTTGATTATCTTGGCAATTTAGACTCTTTACAATTACAGCACTTTCTATTTTCATCACCCATCCCAGAAACAGATAATATGGGCGACTTTCTTTAGTCCGAAGAGGAAAGATCTTGTGTTCAACCAGGGCCGCCTGTACTCAAGCGGTTTTGAGTTTTTTATTTGGGCTGTCATTGACTTTGTGGTTCTCATCTGGTGAAGTCACTGGACGAAATGCCATCAAGTTGATTGACGAAACCGCGTTTGGGGGTGGAGTCTTGACATGCGAGCCGTTTTCAGTCCATGATGCGGCGATAACCCTCGCGAGATGTGCAGACAAAGTGTAGGTAGCAGCCATGATG